TAACTAACCCCACTTTGAGTTTTCTTTCATCTTCTTTCTTATTTCATTTTTATTTCTTTTTTCTATATATATATATATTTATTAATTTTATTTCTTTCTCGATATTCATCGACCGCGCACACTCTCGAGATGATAAAAAGTTGTTTACCGATTATTTTAATTTATTTGTTGTTGTTGTTGTTTCTTTTTTTTTTAAATAATTAAAGCTATCGATTATCTATCATAGAATTCTATTACAATATCTACAAGAGCCTAATTTAGATTTTCATTATTTTCTGGAATTTTTATTTTTATTATTATTATTAAACCTTTTCACCCTTCTTTCATTCCTGTTTTCTTACACGGTTGTTCTTTTATTTGCGCTTATGTGGGATTTATGTTTATGTATGTATGTATGTGTGTGTGTGTGTGTGCGTATTTTATTTGGTTTCAATATATTTATGTATACTCGCTCGATCGGGGATGAGAAAATTTAAACAAAAAAACAAAAAAAAAAGAATGAAAAACAAAAAAATGTATATTTCGTTAAAAAATATTTAAAAAAAGAACAAAAAAAATTAATAATAACAAGAGAGTTGCGATCGATATCCTATTTATCGAACGGGATCAATCAAACAATCGAGATATCGAAAGAAGAAGGTTTCATTTCAACCCTTTGACTGTAAAACAGTGTTTATTGTTCCTTAAAAAGGTTAGGTTTGCAGTCAAAGGACTGAAATTATAAAAATGATCATCGAAATAATTCAGAATATTTTCATTGGTCTGTTCAAATCGTATGCATTTGTTAATATGCAATAAAAAAAATAAACAATGATCGCAATCATTTTCATATAATAATAATATTATTATTATTATTATTAAATAATTTATTTTTTATTTATTATTTATTAATACAAATAAAAATTAATTTAAGTTTTATTTTATTTTTAGGGTTTTGCTAAAAAGAACAAATTATTCTCATTGTTTTATTCAATTAAATGAAACACATTGTATATTTTCACTTATTTAACACATTTTAATTTTTTTATTTTTTAATTATAAAATAAATTTTAAGATAATTAATGAAAATAATAGCGATCACCGAACGTCACTGTTGTTTGATTCGTAGTTTTTATTTCATTTAAAAAAAAAAAAAAACTCATTTCAATTTTTCTTTCCTTCTCTTTTCGATAATCTCTTCTTCTCTCTCTCTCTCTCTCTCTCTCTCTGTCTCTCTTTCTTACTTTTTTTTAATCATTTCAATTGAATTACTTTCGTTCTCACACAGACGCAACTTATAAACAATTTTTCTTTTCTATATTCAAACATTTCTTCTATAAAAACATTCAATTACTTTGCTGTAATTTACCGATTATCCTTTTTTTTCAGAGTTTGGCGAGCGCCATGTTGGAAATTAAATGAAACAACTGAACGTCGAATTAGTTTCGAATTTTGTTCGATTTTACGTTGAATTTAATTCGAACAATTTGCTTTTCACTTGCAATTATCATTTCTTTTATTATTGTATTTTTATTTATTTATTTATTGATATAATTCGTAAAAGAAAAAATTCGACATTCCGTTTTGTGCGATCCTAACCTAATTGTAAAATTTGTTTTTGTTTCTCGGGACTCTCTAGCGAAATTAAAAATTCTCTTGCTCAATTATTTATTTTCATTTTTATTCACGAATATATTTGTAATACTACGAAAAAGTTGAGACGTGTGTGCGTGTATTTACGTGTATGTATATTTTGTTATCTTCATTTTTTTTTTTTTTTAATTCATGTAATTATAATATACAAGTTCAATTTGTCTCTGTCTCTTTCTGTTCATTTCATTTTACTTTTTATTTTATTTCCATTCATTTTCAACCATGCACGCACGCACGCACTAGCGTATTGATGTATGTATTATGTATGTGTCTGTGTTTGTGTAATTCTTTTTGTTTATCGTATCTCGAGTTGTTGTATCTTTTTTCTTCTTTCGTTCTTTCTCTCTCTCTCTCTCTCTCTCTCTTAAATCTTTATACAATTATTTACATATTATAATATGTGAGCTTTTAAGAAATCACGCTAATCGTTCCTATTCTCTCTCTCTCTCTCTCTTGTTCTCTCTCTTTCTCTCTTTTTCTTTCATTTTATTTATTAATTTTAATGTTTGCATTTCACCTGTATTTAACATTCGTTCGTTCATTCATTCATTCACTTTATCTTTCATACTAATTTTGTTCATCCTCACACACACACACACACTCTCTCTCTCTCTCTCTTTTTTTCATTTGCACGAAAAATTGTTCTTTTCTCCCATTTTTATTTGTTACTTTTTTTCTTTTTATTTATTTGTATGTTTGTTTGTTTGTTTGTTTGTTTGTTTGTATGTTTTCATTTCAAAACGCATATAAGCTCTATCACATTGGCTTCACAAGCCGTATTGTTTATCGCAATAATAACTCGATCAAATAAAATAATAATAGAATAATAATAATAATAAAAATATAATAATAATAATAATAATAATAATAATAATAATAATTGTTTATATAAAATATTAGCAATAACGTAAGCCTAATAATACAATAACGACGAATAGAAAAATATTCGTCCTAATTTGTTTTCTTGTTTATCTCTAATCTTTTGTTTCATTTGTTTCGGCCAACGATTTTACAAAAAAAAAAACAAAAAAACAAAAGAAGAAGAAGAAAAAGAAGATGATGAAGACGAAGAGAAGAATACGAAGAAGAAGAATACGAAGAAGAAGAAGAAGAAGGTGGAAACAACAAAAAAATAAAACAAAAGAACGAAACTAATGCAATAATAATTATTTCACCGATTTAGTTATAACCTTAAACAATTTTTTCAATTATTACAAAATTTCATTAATCAATTAATTTTTCTTTTTCCATTCTAACATACGATTTTTTCCTTTTTTTTTTTTTTTTTTGGTATCCTTATAATCCATTTTCGCGATGTTATCATCGATCGATCGATCGATCGTACTGAACAATTAAATCGAAATAAAACAAAAAAAGAAAAGAAAAGAAAAGTAAAATGGTGACGATGATAATCATCGTCACCAATTATCATTCGTATAATCGACGTAACTATATCGATAAATCCGTTTATAATAATCAATAATTAATAATTAATAGCAGTGATATTATTTAATAATAGGTAGTATATATATATATATATAATATAATATAATATAATTAATTAATAATTAATAATAACATTGGTCTTAAGTGTTTCTCTTGTCACGTAAAATTGTTATAAATTAGATATGATAAAAGCGAAGTACTTAATAATACAGAACTAATAATTAAAACATTATAATAATTAATAATAATAATAATAATAATAATAATAATAATAATATATATGTATAAAGTCGAGAAACAAAGGGGTGAAAGGAAATAAAAAACAAAAAGAGAAATAATTTGAACAAAAAGGTACGCGTAATTAGGATAGACAAGGACGTAATAACGTTAACAGTTTTTTGTTTACTTTTTCTTAATTTCTAAATCCTTGGAAAGGGTTGGGAGGAATGGGGGGGGGGGAGGCTAAGGTTTAGAGGGAGAGGAGTATAAACAATAACATGAATCACAATTATGCAATTATCGTTGATCGTTTTCATCGTCATCATCATTCTTTCACTTTCTCTCTCTCTCTCTCTCTCTTTCTCTCTCTCTCTCTTTGCATAACTTAACATTAAAAACTAATAATAATATTAATAATAATAATAATAATTATAATAATAATCCGATCTAACAAACGTCTCGTTTATTTTTTATTTTAAAGTTGGGAGATTGCACTGAGGCGAATCCCGGCCTCGTCCGTTCTCGAAAATTATTTAATTAATTAATTAATTAATTAATTATTTAATATAATTCATTGATTAAAATGCATAACGATCCTTTTTGTTTATATGTTATTAATTTTTTGTAATTGTTTTTTCATTAAGGAGAAAATAAAAAATCTTTAAATAGATCAATAAGATTTTTTTTCTTCTTCTATTAGTCGATAGTAATAATAATAGTAATAATAGTAATAATAATAATAATAATAATAATAATAATAATAATAATACGATGTTAAAGGATCGATCAGTATGCGATATTTAATCCTTGAAACGAAATCGAATGTGGCCGGGGTTCCTTAAACGAACAAAATTTGTTTTTACAACCGATCGGTCGATTTTTATTTCAAAATTGAAAAAAGAAAAAACAAATTAAAAATAAAAAATACTAAAATAATAATAATAATAATAATAATAATAATAATAATAATAATAATATTAATATTAATTATAATAATAAAAAAAAGGGCATATAAAATAAAATAAAAATCGAACCAGTCGCATCGTTTACAGTCTTCCGATAACACCACGCACAATCACTAATGATTTAATTATTATTATTAATTTTCTTGGTTTTTTTTTTGTTTTATTTTATTTTTTTCTCTATCCTCACGTAAGGTAAATTTTTTTATTTCTCACACCCCGAAGAGAGTCCCAGCATATTATTTTAGCGCGAACCTAAAACACGATCGAGTTCGAGTTCGAGTTCGAGTTCTTTTTCTTTCTCATTATTATTATTATTTTTTTTTTTTGATTAAGCTCCCTTTTTATTTAAAATCCTCTGTGTTTCGTCAATTTTTTATTTTCGGTTATCCAGCACACGCGCGCACACACACACATCCACTCGTAATTCCTCCCATTATTCTTTTCAAATCATTATCATTATCATCCTCATCATCATCATCATTTCCATTACTTTTTTGTTTCGTTTCTTGACACACACAACAAGAACTTCCCCTCAAGCATCCATTATCCTTCTTTTGTTTTTCTTTTTCTTTTTCTTTTTCATCTTCTCTTCTTTTTATAAGTTCAACATTACATGATCGTCGCATAATCGATAAATTTTTGTAGTTCCTATTCCTTAACGTACGAAAGAAAAGAAAAAAAGAAGAAACAAAAAAGAAAAAACGAGGAAAAACGTCTCGAATCGATTTCTTTTCATTTTGTTTTTCTTTTTCTTTTTTCTTCTCTTTTTCTTTTGTTTGTTTTTTTCTTTCTTTCTTTTTTTTTTTTGTCGAAAATCCATCATCCATGGTTCTTATTGTTATCTCACTAACGCGAAACACACGAATTTTTAGATCATTTCGTTCGTATACCACCACCACTAGAGAAAAGTACACTCTGAAGGATTTTTGGTCGAAACTCATCGTGGATTTGAATCGTCCATTGTTTTTTTTTTTTTTAAGTCATCGTCATGATTTTATCGAACGCATCACACACAGAGTCCTATTCGATAATTATCATTGACTTGTGTATATATATATATGTATATATATATAAGAGATCGATTAGATTAACCTTGTTATCAAGGTTAATTTTAGGTTTAATAGTCCCATGTTTCTTCGGGTTCGTGTTTAACAATTTCTTTGGGACTCGTATCCGTTGATTGTTGTTGTACCGTTTGTTGTACTTGGGAGGGTGACCTAGGTGACGTTACAGGACTATTTTGTCCAGATTTTGGACTGGGCATTGGACTGTCCCTGTCCGGACCATTGTTACCGGATACCGACGATACATCACTTTGAACGTCCTCTTCGTATCTGTCCTGTACCGGGGTGGGTTCAACCCTAATGGTTTCTTCCGTTTCTCTTTTAACACCATAGTCGTCCGTTTGCATAACGCAAACCCCATTAATGATGACCTCGTCTCCCGTTCGCGTAGGCTCCTGCCATTCCGGATTGACCCACTGTGGTGCCGCAGGTTTTCTTCTGTTTGACCTAACCGTAGTAGGTGCTGTTGGTGTTTCCGCTGGTTCTCTTTTTATGCTACCCGCAGAACCTTCAGAATCTTCGCTACCGAGATTGCTCATCGCATCTTCGGCGTCCTCATCTTCGAATTCTTGATTAGGTTCTCTCTTGAGCGCACTCATCGAGAGATCTAGGCCGGAACATTGTTCTTTTAACGCGTTGCCAACCAACGCTGCTAAGTTAGGGTTGAAGTAAGGTGAATATGGTATTGGTACGTTACCCAAACCCAACCTTTCTTTATGGATTTCTACTAATCGTTGGTTCAACAGTAATCTAAACTGAACACGATCGAATGGTTGACCAGGTTCTCTTGGTGATTGTGGTTCTGGTTGACCATGCGGCGTTTGTTGTTTCAATCTCATTCGATGATTGTGAAACCAATTAGTTATCGTTCTCGAGGACAATGTCAATTCACCCGCGAGAAATTCGATCGTGTTCACGTTCGGATACGGATCCATAGCGAACGCGAGCCTAAGTGCTTCCTTTTGTTCTTCAGAAAATAGTACTCTTTGTTTCTTGGCGGATGCCGGGCCCGGACCAGGCGATGCTGCGTGATAAAATTCAGCGGTATCGTTGCTGGACGTATCCGAGCTGTTGTCGTGTCCTGGACCACTGCTACGCCGTCTTTTGTTAGCCTCTCTTCGCTCGTTCTTCAAAGCTTGCAATCTGTCAACGTTGTGTGCGTCCGCCAACCACATTTGCATTCTGATGAATGGCTCGCGACCTTTTATACTCAACATATGCCAAGGTTTTGGTTTGCTTAACAATTCGCTAACCGAGCCCTGCGATAAACCTAGAACAACTTCACCGAATATTTTTTGACCAATGTTGTTAGCCAATAAGGCTTCTTTGATCTTAGTCGTGATAGTTTGCGTATCGAGATCTTGGGTTAACGCTGCCATCTCGTAGACGCTCGAAGATATGTGTAAATGAGGTCCTCGTAACGGTGACGGTGTCATCTGATGATGTGGAGAATGCAACGTCATTTGTTGTTGTTGCTGTTGCTGTTGTTTCTTCTGAAGTTCTTGCATACTGAGTTGGGCATGCGGATGATGTGGACCTGGTGGGGTCAACATCATCGGCAAAGGTGGCTGAGGATGTTGCGGAAGTTGTGGACTCTGTTGAGGTGGACCCAACTGCATTTGACTCTCCTGCTGATGTTGCGCCGCTGCTTGGGCAGCAGCCTGGGCTGCTGCTTGCGCTTTCGCCGCATTCTGCAATTGTTCCTGAACCAACTTAGTCGGCGGCATGGGTTTCATAGGCGTTCCGCATGCTGTAATTACAAAATAAAATCATTTTAGTTACTTGAAAAGTAATCGTTTTATAGTCCGAAAGCTCGATTCGACATCCCACGTTATCTTATATTTTATTTCTGCAATAGTAGAATTATTTCTAAACGAACAACATGCTTGAACATTACTTTCAACAAATAACCGTATAACCTATTCGTTATCGGATTGCATACATAGATATTTTGTTGTTTCTTACGGCGTGCTTTGCTTATACACACACTCACACACATACATAAAGATATTACGGAGCTCTCGAACTACGTTTGTAGGTAAAGTAACAAAACATCTATATTGACCTGAGTTAAACTTACGAGGCAGGCCGCCGTAGCCGCCGGTCCTCATCAGCTTCTCCGGTGCGATTTTATATTGACTTGCTACAAGTTTGTGAACAGCGTTGTCGTCCTCGAGGAACATTTTCATTCTGATGAATGGTTCCCGTCCCTTTTGCGTCAACATATGCCAAGGTTTGGGACGTGCTAGAAGATCCGATACGGAACCCTGAGATAGACCCAGAACCGATTCACCAAACAAACGTTGGGAGATCGAATACTGCGACAATTGCTCCTTAACCTATAACAAATCAATTCAAACAATAAAAACAACGTTATATTAAACTGAACACAATGTTGAAGAAAATTTGAACAAGTTGCTTACCCTCTTGACGATATCCTCGGTATTAAGATTATTGTACATGTCGAATTGTTGTTGAGTAATTGGAGGAAGAACTGCTTTGAGTGGTCTTTGATTCGAAGCATGATGGGTCGGAGTGGACGGTTGGCTGATTAGGCTGTTAGTTATAGAGGCCATCCTTTGTAACGGACTGGCCGCAGCAGCGCCAGAAAAATCTTCACTGGGCGTCATTGCTGGAGGTAGAATAGAATTACCGAGCGGTGAACTCGCACTGGAACCGCCAGGTGTCGATTGGGCTCCCGTTGTTTCCTGTTTAGGCCTGACCAATGAAAACGCACTTCCAGCGTGTCTCATGGCTTCTTCCATTTTTTCTTTCTCTTCCTCAGTCACACCGTTAATCATTTTATTCCTTATATCCATTTTTCCTAAGCTCAAATCTTGTACACCACCACCGTTAGTCGCCAAGTGATGTTGTTGAAGAGCTTGTTGTTGCAGAGCTAACAAACCAGGTAATCCAGGTAATCCTGGCAAACCGGTAAGTGCAGAATTTTGTCCAGAACCAGCATTCAACTTTTGAAGTTCCCGATGATAAGCATCCAACGCCAATCGGATATCTTCCTGAGTTCTTTCTATACCTTGGAGCCCTTGAGTACCGCTGAAAAAATGCGGAAACACCGCGCTACGATCAATCGAGGTCGTGTGCTGTCCTCATTAATAATCAATCGGAAAATCGACCAAGTACGCGAACGACTTAGAATAAAGATAGAGAGAGAAATGGATAGTTAGAAGATACTGAATGATTAAAAATCATCTAATTGAAAATAGGCAATATTATTGGACTAACCAATTAGGAAATCTTACCTAGGAGGAAAATCTAGTGGTCCACGTCGATCCTCAACTCTCCTTCCCATGAGTTTAGTTAACTCTTCATGATAAATCCTGACTACCTTTTCCGGGGGAATGTCATCGTTTTCGTACTTCTTCAGTCTCCTATTTTGACTCTCGAGTCTGTCCTTACTAAACGGACTCGGACAGCCAATCCTGCTCGGACTCTTACTGTCCGCATCGTTCGAGACCTCATGTTCGCCTCTCATCTGTAGGTGACCAGATTCCGAGAGGATATGGGCCAACCTCTCATCGCTCATTTCCGGCGGACCACTTTCCTGTGGTCCACGCGCGAAAGGTGGCATTCCCTGCTCCTTGCCTGAAACATACTCTACGGGTGAGGCACAACTTGTGGTTTGTTCTTACTCAGTTTCATCTTAGGGATTTATAAAAAATACAATTATACACATATATAACAGAAAACAAATATCAAATATATATATATATACATATACACATACAATATTGATTAGAATTAGGAACTCAAAGTTCGTTGTATCAAATATCAAATCACGCCAATAATCCCTGTTAATATTGTCTACCCATTTACGTACAGGGTCAACCCAATAGGAATCTTTTCCCATTAGATCTACCACAAAATATTTGAAATATTCCTACAATCTGCTTATCATTATCGTAAACAATATCCTAAAATATTAAAATTGTAATTTCTCATTCCGATAATATAATCCTTGATTTACGAATGTGAGAAGAGATAAAAAATTCGTTGAACCAGACCATAAAGTATAGCTGATGGAAAGAGTCTAAATCCAAGGAAAATCCCTTTGGGCGATCCAAGGTTCGATCAAACGCGGATGCAATTAATATGAAGAAGAATCAATAGGACCTAAAACGAATGCCGAAGGCGGGACGCGTGGAATCCGTCTGACGATAATTAAAATATCCTCTTGACAGTGGCGGCAGGCAGGCAGGCAGGCAGGCAGGCAGGCAGACGTACCAAGCCCTTGCGGGTTCTTTAGTAGCCCCCTTACCCTTTACCCTTTACCCTTATTCTCTCCACCCTTTTACCACCCATTTTCACTCTTGCCTATCTACCCAAGAGTGTCGTCCTCCTACGTGTTTCCCGTCTAATTGACCAATCAGCCGCAAGATTCAGACGAATGAGCCATCGATCACGAGTTTGATTGCTCCCGCATGCTCGACGTTTACGTCGTGCAAATTCGACGCCTACCGCGTGATTTCGCATTCCTTTTCAAGAGAGTACGTGTAAGTGAGTATGTCTGTGAGCACGTGGATCGTCAGATGGAAAGAGATAGAAATAGAATGAGTGAAAATTTGTATTTATGTGTGTGTAAGAGAGTTAGAAGAAGGTTAACACATAGGAGGAGCGAATTTACCGGTACGATCATCGAGCAAAAGCAATCTTTCCTTGTGAATCGTGCTCGAAATTATGTGTTCGAGGATGATTGCAGACGATCCATCAAAATCTGTCGACTCTTCTTCCCTTGGCTCTCGATGTATATATACTTTTAACATAGACAGATATTTCATGACTTTCACTCTAACTTATCAAACGAATTCTTACTTCTTCGTTTTATTTTCGAGTTTAAAAAAATATTAGACAAACTTTTTGACTTTACCTTCAGTCAACAGATTTTTTAAACTTTATTAATTTATTATTCGATCATAAAGTTAGAGTCTGAGGAATTTTCTACAACGTTTGTTGCATAAATCATCACGAAGTTTTTCAACGATTAGAAAATATGATATATATATATATATACCTATATTGTTTTTTTATTTTTTTAATACGAATTTTGAATGAACCATTAAATGGAATTTGAGGTAAGAAAATATTTTGTTTCAAGTAAAAGTATAGTAACATAGTTTGAGAAAGTTTTCATCAAGATAGTCTAGTGTCTAAACTTTCGAAGTTAAGATTCTTGTTGATTTTAAAGAACACGTAATATTTCGTCTAAGATTCTATATAAACTAAAAAAGAATTTATGAAGAAGAATTTAATAAAAAAAAAACAAAATGTTACACTAATATCTAAGATAATCTTTTTTTATTATATCTAGTTTTATTAAGATAACAATATAAACGAAGTAAAAAAGTTCTTTTGGCAAAGAGTACAAATGATTCATCACATCATGTTGATAGAAGAAAACTAGTAAAAGAAAATCAGTCGTTCTCGATGCGCATGAAACTTGGTGGTCCAGACTTTAAGAAAAAGAAACCAAAAAAAAAAGAAAAAACAAAACCAAAAGAAAAAAAAAGCTTCTTGAAAGTGATACACACGACGCGACATCAACGAGGTTCAAGAAAGGGTGGGATTTCGAATTCGTAGGAACGAACGGATCGTGACATCTTTCTATGTGTATGCATACGTGATGCATTTATACGTGTACGTGTATATACATGTGTGTATGCCCTGTACGTTAACAGCGAGCATTGTCGCAACGCTTGAATTCGTGCCAGGAGACTTCGACTTATGCCAACGATTTTCCCTTACCATCCTTCGCACCCAACTCACCCAACGTTCTCTACTCCATACAATGATTTTCTCTTAGTAGACTGTAGGACACGTTTTAATACTAAAACGTACGACTGCTAAGAATCCTATCAATTTCTAAGATCATTCCCTGTATATAATATATAGAAATGAATTTTTATTGAAATTATAATTCAAAAAACAATTGTCAAATATATTATCAAATCTTATTAATTATGTTCAAAATTATCACCTGGATGATTGTTCAAAGTTAAATTTACTTTTATGCAACATTTGGAAACTTCACAAAAGCTCCCAATTATTTTTTAATTTTTTTAGCTAGCTTATTAGTTGGTAAACAATGAATAACTGTCAAATTTATTTAGGTTACTATCAAAACAACCTGCTAATTTATTACCATCGATAAAAATAATTGTAATAATAATAATAATATTAATATATTTATAATACAAAACGAAGTTGATCGAACGTAAAAGTATGAGAAAAGAAGTGAAGAAAATCGTGCGAATTTAGTTAGGTGTACTTCCACGATTGTATATCCGTCTTGAGATATATCTAGCGGCATTTTCATGAGTGAGAATCTTCATGAAACTTAGAAGTGAAATAGAGATGAAGATAAAAAGAGATATGTAGATAGAAACTGAGAGAGTTAGAGAGACGATGAAAATGAAGAAGAAGACGAAGAAGAAGAAGAAGTAAAAGAAGATAATAAAGAAATTAGAAGTTCTAGTCGTGAAGAAGTTAAATCTCGATCTAATGTCTGAAAATCTAACGCCTGGTAACGATTGTAACGTACGATGAACACAACTAATTATCGACTAGTATCTCTGCTTCGCGCGAATACAACTTCGGACGGTTTACACTCGGTTCGCGTAATTAACCATTTCCGCTCTGATTTTTTGTCTCTCTCTCTCTCTCTCTCTCTCACGCACACATGATTTTTCTCTGACCTACTTTCTATCAACAAAAATTCTAAAACAATTAAACAACAATCGTAAAGAAAGATTCAAATCGATATAATGAAATTAAACATTATAAGCAATTTATAACCTAAAAAAGAAATGAAGTTGAGAAAGTTTGTTCGAAATGATCAGAATTTTATTCACTTTCTATCAAGAATTATTCTAAAACAATCAAACGAGTATTGACAAAGCAAGATTCAAATTTAAATAAAGAGCAAAACATTGTAAATAATTTATAACCTAAAGAAACAGAGTAGAGAAGTTTATGCAACATTTAGGTTATGTTGTCATTGGTAATGATGATGGTAATATTGCAATTTCTATCTTATGCTTTTCTTTTTTACTTCCATATCTATTTTCTAACGAAAAAATAATTCTAAAACAATTAAACAATAATCTGAAAGAAAGATTCAACATTGTATCGAAATTATAACCTAAAAAAAAAAAAAAAAATGAAGTAGAGAAAGTTTGTTAATCGAAATGATAAGATTTAGGTGTTGTTGTTGTTGTTGTTGTTGGTAGCAATGATGGTAATGTTGAAGTTTCTATCTTGGATTTCTTTCGAGCATCGATGATTAGATCAACGAGAAATCGTGGTCGCGCGTAGCACAATAGATCGAGTAGTAGTGTGTCGCCATTTACTTCGAGTCGGTTCGTCGACAATGGCCGATTACAAAATCTGGAACGATTTCGTGAGAATTCCCTAAGCAACCGAACCGACTGTTAAGAAACACAACGCCGATTATTGCGTAGAACGTTGTTACCGGTTGCGTCGTCCCATCCGAACGATACTATTATATTACGTTGTTGTGTTGCTACCAGTTAGTTGGTTCGAGCTGCACCAATGGTAGCCATTGTCTTTTCTTTTTCTCTTCTTTTTTTTTTTTTTAGAATAGCGTAGATACGCGTGGAAACTCGTCCTCATCCTTTGCGTCGTCGTAGTCGTCTTTCTTTTTTCTGTTTTCCTTTTTTTTTCCTTCCTCCCCCATATTCTACTCCTCGTCGTTTTTCTTATTACTGTATTTAATAGAAAGAAATACATACTCGAGAATCGGTACACTACGAATCGACCGACTGTCTTATTGTTCGAAATAAGTGAGAGACCAATTAAAAAAAAACACTGGCGAAGGTTTCACGACGCCAACTGCGAAACGGGTCAGCGATCTTTTGTCTTCTAACTTCTTATCATATGGTTTATCGATTTAGGGTAATCTACTGTTGCTGAAATTATTTGATCGTCGCAACCAATTTCATAACAACTTTATGCGTAATTTAAAATACTATTATTCAAATAAAATACTCAATTGTTCATTTAGAATTGTCATTTGAAAAATAAATTCTATTAAATATTATATTAAAGTTTGCTAATATTCACGTGATACCTAAAAATCAATAGAAATTACAAAACTTATATGCAAGTAGAAATTGTCTTCGATGAGGGCAACTAAGAAGTGGGGGAGAAACGGAGTAAGAGTGGGAGTATGGAAGTAGGAAGAGTAGGAGGAATAAGACGACGAATTCAGCGAATGGTTGGCTGTAGAACAAGAAACAAAATCCTGCGATAAACTGACTTGGACCGGTACCAACTATCTTTATTACCGTAATCTCGTCCGTGCGTTGCTCTTGAAGGCAAGCGCATTCGTACATTGGTATGCTTAGATCAATTGTGTTTCTACTACCTAGTAGTCTTTGGTGCAATGTGCGTTCGTTGGTGATGATCTAACATCATTGCCGCGGGCCCGGCAATAATAAACGTCTATTCGGACGCGTTGCACTAAATTGTGGCCCGACATCCAGATATGTTTGTTGCAGGATTAGTCATGAAAAGAGGCCTGCTACCAAAATGTTACTTCATTATTTTTATAAATCATTTTACCCTAGTATTGAGATACTTTTTATGAAATAAGGGACTAATAAATTAACAAAAAAATCTTCTCACACAATGCAGATGAAAATGTAGATTACAAATTTAACAGACATTGTGAAGAGTAAGTTGAAGACTGTAATGAATCCTTCAAAGACAGGCTGATGGTTGGTGGTCTTTGCACGCTCGAACGATTTCTAGTATCCTATATATATATATATATACAACACCTCTAACGTAATAAGTCGTTAGGGCTATAGGGTAGGTATTTAGTCGATGAAAACTTATCTTTCTGACGTGAGAGTTAGAGAGAAACCTAGCCCCCGATTATGGTCTTTTCAACGAGGGGTGGGGAAGAGTAGAAAATAAAGTCTTGATGATTTTTGCCCATAAATCACGCGTCGATTAAGGTAACTTTAGTTGCATGAAATATGAGTAAGGTGTATATTTATACCTACTGAAAGTGATCAATGAATTATCAGCTGGTATAGTTATCAAAGCTTATCTAAGAACGACGATGACTATGCAACAACAAACATGATTGGTTGAGTATATTTTTTTAAACAATTTAGACAAAATATAATATTATCTAATAATAATAATAATAATGATTATAATAACAGTCGGGGCATATTTTATTCTCGTTCAATGCTTCGTAACTTTCACCTCCCTTCCCCTCCTCCGAAACCCTCATCCTTCTTCTCTCGATGATTATCGTTGTCAGAGATCCCGACGGAAACCGACAATCCATTGACGCATGACTCATGTTTTGTCACCGAGTCCTCTCTCTCTCTCTTTCTTTCTTTCTTTATTTTTTTATTTCTCTCTCTCTCTCTCTCTCTCTCTCGTTTTTATTGAATTTATTTTTATTTTTATTTCGCACGCCGAAACCGGACGTACAAGTCAGAGGATGCGCCATTATGAGAACGACGATCGACATCCTCTGACGATTGATATTAATATTTTTTTTTTTACATAAAAGAGAGAGAGAGAGAGAGAAAGAGACTAGGTGGGGGAGAAGAGGGGGGAGGAGCTGCTACTTCCGATTCGAACTAATTCGATTCGTTTGTCGTTGAATTGAAATATAATTCGAATCCATTTTCTACAGCTCGTTTCCTATAATATCTCTGACCTATTTAATTTGAAACAAATTGAATAGAAACGTAATATTAATAAATATATATTTATTTAATTAATTATTAGAGATTTTGATGAAACGATTAATATAAAAAAAAAAGAAAAATGTATCATTATATTTAAATTTCTTAAGAACAATCGATGATGGTGTTTTAATCATTATCAAACACTCGTCTCTCTCCTTTCGATTTTCTCTAAACAATATGGCTGCCAAACGCAGCAAATAATCGATATAAGAATAGAGTCAATGCTAGGACACGATGTAATCAAATCTATTGATTCGTTTGATTTAATTTGCTGTCGTTTATATCATTCATCCAACTCTCTTGAATTCTATTCATTTAATTTCAAACACAATGGATTTGTATGAAATGTGTTGTTAAATAAAATGAGAAACTACTATACTCTCTCTTAATGTTTCAGTTTCAGTTTCAGTTCCGTTTTCGTTCCCGTTCCCATTCCGTATCGTTCCGTTCGTTATGTCTAATAAGAGATATTCGAGAATAACGTAAACGAAACTAGTAGTATGTATATCTTTCCTTCATTTTGATTGTCGCAAATGTGACGAGGGATTCGACGTCTGGGATGAGCATTAAAGTTCCTTTCCTGCGGGTGCGGTTAGAAGAGCGAATAGAAGTACCATCGATTCCCTTATTAAGCAGCCAAGAGAGGTTAAAACAATGTAATATAGCTAGTTATGTATTTGTTAGTCATTCGGCGAGATGGATTATTGGCAGTGCAAGGCGGAAGATAGAAGATTTTTCAATCAGATTTTATTATTCTGATTCATCGAGAATATCTTTTGATCATAACATTGGTTAACAATTATTAAGTATACTTATGAAACAGAATCATAGATTAATGACATTGATCAAAGTATAGATCTCGATCAATCATATTTTAGATTCGTCTAAGGCCAGAAGAGTAGTAAGTGTTTGAGATAATCAAGTCTCTCAATGTATATCATGTATGTGTATATATATATATAAATATGTAAAAATAGAAAGATTCGGAGAGATATGATCGTTGGAACACATCGGTACTCACCTTTTTTGGGTATTAGGGACTTGAGCAGCATTACGGCGTTGTCGTCGCAAGCCCAACCGTGCATCTTCCTATAACTATCTCGTCCCTTCTCGGTGAGTTTATCCCAAGGTTTGGGTTTGCTGAGTAACTCGCTGACGGTACCTTGACTCAATCCAAGAACATATTTGGCGAACAGTCTTTGACCGATATTATGTATGGATAAGAGTTCTCGTACTCTTCTTGCTATGTGTAGAGTGTCCAGGTTTTGTGAGGCATACTTGTCCATATTGTAACGCAACATGTCTTGCAATCTCGCTTCCATGGGATCACCTTTAGGTATGAGGGATTCACCGAGTCTACCGGCCATACCGATCGTACCGAACTCATCACCGAATCTGAACGGATGGGTTCTGTCGTCGAAACGGAAGGGACTTTTTAAGGTGTCCAATACGCTCAAGCCACCGATATTGTTGTTAGCTAAATGATGACTGTTGTTATTATTGTTGTGACAGGATTCCTGATCCGCCGGGCTTTTAGGTGGCGGCGCCGTGGACACGGCACTGGGGGTAACGCCTCCACCGTTGACGGAGGCGGAGGAGGTGCTCGTCTCGACCATCGACGTGGGCGGTTGAAAGCTCGGGGGCGATGTCAGGGCACTCGTCGAGGATGGCGTCTGCGGCGCCGGCGTTTCGTGACCGGGAACTGGCGTCGACGCCTTCTCGCTTGGATCGAGACAACCGATCAGCGGTGTCGTCCCCAACGTTGTACCTAACGTTGTACCTAACGTTGTACCTAACGTTGTACCTAACGTCGTACCTAACGTCGTACCTAACGTCGTACCTAACGTCGTACCCAACGTCGTGCCCAATGTCGACGTACCCAATGATGTTGTACCGAGTCCTGTCGTGGCTAAATTCGTCGTGGTTAACGTCGTCGTTCCCATCGACGTCGTACCCAATGGTGTACTGGATTTACTCGGTACGTTTGTACTGGACGATGCTTCTGTTGGCGAGGGAAGATGATTTAGGCTGCTTGACGTTGTAGGTGGATGAAGTCCTATCAATGGTTGGACTTGTTGCAACTGTTGTTGCGTTAATTGAGAGATTTGAGTGGCTTGTTGCTGTTGTTGCGGCTGTTGCGGTTGTTGTTGTTGTTGCTGTTGTGGCGGCACCTGTTGTTGTTGCACTTGTTGGACTTGCTGGACTTGCTGCTGCTGTTGTTGCTGCTGCTGCTGCTGTTGCTGCTGTTGCTGCTGTTGTTGTTGCTGCTGTTGTTGTTGTTGTTGTTGTTGTTGCTGTTGTTGTTGTTGATTTATGATCGACCTTTCCAACGTCCGCCTCCAGTTGGCGACGATCTCCTCGCCAAGGAAGGAGCCGAAGGTTTCGACGTTTTGGAGAGGCGGGGGGAAGAGGAGGCTGGAAGTCGTCGATGTTGCGGAGGAAGGTGTCGGCGTGGAACGTGGCGGGAGGGAAACCGAGGTCGGAGGTGGCGGTGGGGCTTGTTGGGAGGATACTAAGGACGAAGGTGGCCCACCTCCGACCCCATGGGGCGAGGCGGTCGAGGCGCGCTGCAGGGGTGACGATAGTCCACCTGCAACCACCAAAAACACAAGGGACCCCGTCAACACGGTTGCACGCGCACTACAGATAACTCAGGCCTAATAATCTCCGTCGTTTTAATTTTTTTTTTTTTAAACAGGATACTGACTTTCTGATCGTCGGCTTACTTTATCTCTCTACACTTTTTATTTTAGTTTTTCTTTTTCATTTTATTGGTTTTGATTCTCTCCACGAATTCATTCGAATCTACTATTTTTCCTGTTTTTTCTTTTTCTTTTCTTTTTCGTAACACGACCTAGACTCTCTCAGTTTGGTGCCTCGATAAATATATCAATTTACTTTCGAACTTTTATACAACAAAATAATATATATCCGAGTACAAGAAGAGTAAAAACACAACAACAAAAAAATAACAAAAGAAAATATCAAATAAAAGAATCATCGAAACGATAAAAAAAAGGTTGTGGGGAAGCTGACTGAGGAGGTGGTGGTGGTGGTAGTGTTTTGTAGCGAGAAACAAACAAAAAAAGACGAACATCGAAAACAATTGAGAATAGATAATAAAAAAAAATGAAAAATAAAACACGAAACACAATATCTTGCCGTCCATCGTAAAACAAAATACTCGCGTTGAAAATTGTCTCCGTTGTGTGTTCTAACAAAAACCTAAAAACAAAATTAGGAAATAAGGTAGGAAGGAAGGAAAAATTACGAAAGAAAAAACAAAGTAACGATTGGGGATTAACGATGAACGACGAATAAAGGAGTACGGGAGTTTTCGGTTGTTTTAATTCAAAAGAGAGAGAGAGAAAAAGACTAGGAGTGGATTTAAAGGTTGATGGGAGGTTAAAGGGGGGTAGGTAGTGTCGACGTTTGCATATATTTCTCTCTCTCTCTCTCTGTCTCATACACACTCTGTGCAAGGGTTGAGTTTTCTTTTTCTTTATCCCTCTCTTTGATTTTCGCGACGTGCATTTATTTTCCCTTTCTCTCTCTCTCTCTTTCTATATATATATATCTCTTTTTAAGTGGGCACCTCTTTTGGTGGTACACGTACGTACGTAGTAGAAGAAGAGAGTCCTGGATCGATTCATAATAAACTCCGTCCCCGAAACAATAGCCCGGGCCTGGGCAAATACTGCGAAATATCGTCCACAAATTTGCGTATTCCCACAGTGTGTAGAAGAGGAGAGTAGTAGCAGCGGCAGCAACGACGATTTGGCAACAAGAGGGTGCAGGGGGTTGTGGGTGGAGGGTTGATTCGGGAGTTTGGTGAGGTGAAGTTCAGAATGATGGTGGTAGTAGTAGCAGTGGTTTGGTAGGGTGTTGCGTTTCGTAGGGTTGAGGACACGTAAAAGGAATAGGAAAAGTGGGTGGAGGGAACGTATGAAGGAAAAGGGACGTTCGGGGTAACGTTTGGCAAAAGGTCGATGATGAGGAAGAGGAGGAGAAAGAGGAAGAGGAGTTTGAGGAGAGGGAAAGGGTTGTAGGGCAGATGTCAGAGGTGTACAGCAGACGGAATAGGGCAGAGAGAGATAATATGTGTTCCGTTACGTTAGTTACTTTTACGTGAGAGTGTACGTTTTTAATATACACATGTACACGTGGTGGTACTGATTTTTTTTTTGTTTTTTTCTTTTTTTTTTTTGGTGAGAGAGTGACTCGAACAAAAAAGTGCAGCCTAAGCAACGAAGGATTCGAGGGAGAATATAAAAGTGGAGAGAAACACAGAGAGTAAGAGAGAGAGAGAGAGAGAGAATGAGACAAACAGATAGAGAGAACAGATAACAAAAACAAAAATGAGAAATGTAGTAGAAGAAATAATGAAGAAAATGTTAAAGTGGAAAAATGGTAATCGCTGATATCAAAGAAAAGAAAAAAAAAACAACAAAAGATCATCTTGAGTTTTGACAGAGGAGAATAGAAATAAGTTGGAAAATAGTGCGAACACAATGGCAAGCAGGGTTAAATTTGATTTCTTTTTTTCTTTCTTTTTTTATTTTCTAATTGAAATTATTGTTTCGTAAGCTCTTTCAGTCATCCCTCGATTAATTATTTTGTCTATTTTTTTTTTATTTTTCTTTTTTATTTAATATCCGCGCATAGCATGAGACTTATGCCCTAATTTGTTATAGGTTGTATTTTTTGTTTTGTTTATTGTTGATTCGAATTATAATTCAAAACACGGTCGGACACGGGAGTCGGCCTCGAGGAGAGAGAGTCGGCGACCGAAGATCAGAGCAGTAGCAAAATAGGAATTTGAAAAGCGATGCGGTGCTAAGTGATGCTAATTAGAGAATAATCTTTGATCTGTTTTAGCTATATACGACGCTCTGGGGTACACACTGAACTTTTTGTCTTATCTCAATGGTTAAATATCTTAAATCATGTTGTACTAATTGTTAAAGACAGCTAAAGTTTTACCCTTAAATGTATTTCATTACTTTTCTAATAAATTCTAATTTACCCTGTTTACTTGGATACATTAAAACCCCTGTTTTACATAGCGTCAGAATAAGTTGCTAACATTTCAAAGATAATAAATGTTAAGAATAAAAAAAAAGAAAAGAAGTATTTCAATTGAATTGTAGTAAATAAAAAAAAAATAAAAAAAACGAAAACCAATGATATTCTTTGATTTTTAGTTATACATTGTCAAATAAAATGAATTTGATAAATGATTGAATACCAAAGAAAGGAAAACTTACCGAGCGTGTCAGGCGTGTTAGGTGGTTTTAAACTCTCAGCTTGCTGAAGGGCCTTAGAACGTTCCATTAAAAGGTGTTCAAGACTTTTTCCAGGTTCACCGGTTGGAATCTGTGAGAGATCGACCGACCTTAACACGCTTATCTCGCGTTTCAGGTCATCGTAATCTCTCTGCCGTTCCAATTTGCTTTCCAATCTTGTGATGTGTTGTCTTCGTGCTTCGAGTTCTTCCTCGAAACGCGCCGTCGCTTGCGCGTTACTATCTTGAAGACGTTGCAAATTTTGTTGTAACCTTGACACCTCGTCCAACAGTTGACCGATCTAAAATGTTAAAACATAAATAAAATTGAATTAAATCAAACGCGATAATAAAACAAATCAATTTGAAGATGAAAAACAGTACAACTATTTGTAATATTAGTTGATAGGAACACGTGATTATGTTCAAAGGGTTTTTTTTTTTGGTTAATAGTTTTTGATCAAAGTTACTTAAATATATTTTTCAATTAAATTCAAGCCTAATTCATATAATCGATTCTAGCTAGTTATTAAACATGAACGAGATATATAATATAATAATCGCATTATCGAAGACGCAAATATGGAATCACATTTGCGACGTACTCCTTTCAACTCGAAACCATCTGGGCAAGCATTGCTTATCCATAGGTAAGCGATATCCCCTAAAGGAGCTTACCAAAAGCTCTTTATTAATTTTATTGAGAATTATGTAATATATATATATATATATATATATAGAAAAGGAGAATCGATAGGAATATAATCAAAGATTCTACACACTCATATATATATATATATATGTATATGTATATGATCATATGGATTAAGTTACTGTTTTCAATGAGAAATAAAAGAAGAAAAATAAAGTTTCGGGTGATGAGAAGTGTTCTCAGTTATCATAGCAGCATTTATTCATGTCTCGCACATGTTCCTAGATGAAAACGATCGTTCAACGAGTCGTTAACAATTCAGATAGTAGCTGTCATCGACTGATAATCAAGATTCTACATCTTTCCCTTTTACTCCCTCATCCCTCCCTCCATTTACCTCATTCCTTCTTCTCTTTCTATCTCATTTTCATCTTTGGAATTCACATTTCTATCAGTTCTCCTCAATTTTACCCCCTCAAACTCACACACACTTACTACGAATCGTATTTATTATCCTTTTTCTTCATCTTATTGGGATGGGGGAGAAGGTACGGTGATAAAGAATGATAAAATGATACAAGTGTCATGTGGAATCATCGATGACTATAAAAAAAAAAAGAAGTATCGTTCGAAGTATGATGCACACACACACCACAACCACCACAACCATCACCATTGCGTAGAGCCGATTATCGTTGAGTTTCCACGATCAATCGGAATGAATTGCGATGAATCGTTGGTACTCGAAAGCTATCCATGTGTTTAGTCGAGTTCATGCAACCGAATGCGTATCCGGAAGAGCGAGAAGAGGAACGGATGAATGAATGAATGAACGAAGAGAGATAGAAAAGAAGAGCTGAGAGGAATAGTGAGAGTGAGATAGTGAGGGGTTTGGAAAGAGGTTTTTACGGGGGGGAAGGAGATAGAAAACGAGCTGGTTGGTTGGTTGGTTGGTTGGTTGGTTGGTAGGATGAGACGATTTTAAAGCCGAATGCGTTTGCACTGTAGCGCGTACGGTGCAACGGGCGAATGTGAACGAGATCGTATCAATTGTTTTTCCTCGTCGAGGCATCGCCCTTCTTTTTTTTTTTTCCATGATACCCGGGGGTTAATTGAGGAGCGAGGGCTTCAATTTTACAAAATTCACACCTCCGACATCTCTCTCCTACATCTTTCTTTCTCTCTCTCTCTCTCTCTGTTTCTCTTGTACTGTGTTATGGTATTTTTTTCTAATTGTTCTGATAGAGTACACACACCTTTTTTTTTTTTGTATACGTGAGATAACAAACGACATTGGTCATTCCTTTCTAATTTTTTTGTTGTTGATTCTACATTGAATAAAATTATATATAATAATAGGTGCAAAACTTTGCTTACGCCATATTTTCTAAAAGTCATTTGTAGGAAAAAGGTTGGAAACAATGTTGTACACCTAATATATCATTTTGTTTACCACGTATTAGAATATTTTATTTTTTGTTTTTTTTTGTTAAACATTTAACACTAGGATAAATGTTTTTATTCATTTTTCTTAAAATATTTGAAATATTTAATAGAAACGAGTATGTGTGGACCGGACGGTAATGGGGGAAAATGTAAAATAAATATTATACATATGTAAAAAAAAAAAAACAAAAGTTCTTGAATACTTTAGATCAAGTTTCTTCTTAACACATGGCACGAAGAAACTACCCTCTAACATAACTAGGAAAAAAAAATCGAAGAACCTTGAGTTACGTCGGTCAGCAGTTACATTTTTACCGTTAGCTTTTATATTATATGTTGCGGACTGTTGCTATCTGTCGATTGTCTCTCCTACGTTTTACACTTCCCTTTTTTTATGATCGATACGTATCCAACAACGTTGTGGGAACTTACTTTTACCGGTATCGGACTACACCTGTCTCCTATCTATCTTTTTCTATCCCTCCACTCCTTGTTCACTTGCATTCGTTTATCCACATGTATTCTTTTTATATTAATACGTTTACATAAATCTATCGAAATAAATCATTGATGTCCGATAAATTGTCAAAATGTTTAATTTTCTTAAATAAATCTTATATAATAATAATAATAATAATAATAAACAATAGAAAATATGATTGAAATAGTAAACCATTTCTAAAACACATTTATTCATTTACCATGATCATAGTTTATTGATAATTTATTCGAAGTAATAAGTATTATACGGTATAATCAACTGTAAATAAGATACTATGATAATAACGTTAAATGTTAAAGCACGTGGGTGTTTGTATACTTTTATCATAAAGATAAACTTCTTCCAATTATTCGATTCAAAATCGTACTTTGGATCGGGTTTCCGCAAACGTCATGGGGCATAATTAAATCCTGCGTTATGGATAGTAGATCGTAAATTCGCACAAACACGCTGCTTGATAAATCAACTCGGCAAGCTCTGGATAACGGATAATGTACGTTGAGTAACGTTACGTCTAGTTAAGGCAAGGTTAAGAATTTACTGCTGCGACATATTGGAATCCGGAAATAAATGAAATGTGACGTGCACAACTAGGAGAACTATGGTTCCAGATGGGTTGTTCAAACATCGATGTATAATTTATTAATAAATTAAACACATCTCTTTCCTATACAAAAACAAATAAAACACATCACCCAACGGAAGTGAACCACAAGTCACAATTGTCACAAGTATATTTCATTGAACAGATAGTAGTGTCTTCAAATGAATACTCAATTCGTATACCTGTCTTGGACAGAAACGAACAATCTCATGGTGTTTTAAGGGGATCCTTTTAAAAAAAAAAAGGATCCTACTCCCGTAGCAGAATCCGAAGGTCCAACAGGAAAAATAAATGACGACAGAAAAAAGAGAGTACTAGTAAAAGGAATGGCGATGAAAAGGCATAGGGTGGAGGTGAAAAGAAAAGGGGTGACGTTACAGCACCTTTTCTGCTTCGGGTGAACAATGTCATCGAGTAAAGGAGGAGTCTTTCTCGTTAGCGAGATTCTCGGTTGAAAAAAAGAGAGGTGGGAGGATGGAGGGTGTTGAAGTGGGTTGCTCCTGTTGGTGTGAGTGCATATACCAAGCGGATATATATGGGGTTTGGGAAGGGGGAGAGGTTGTAGTGACCATCGGCTTCCCTAGATGGAAACCAAGAGAGAAAAAGAGAGTGAGAAAGAAGGTGGTAGAGAAGGAGGTGGATGAAAAACAACTGGGGCTTGATCGATGGTCACGAAGCATGGCGTTGAGGGGTGGAGGGTGGTGAGGAAGCGAAGGTGAGTCGAATCGGAAGACACGATCGGTCGTATGCAAATTAAAGCAGGACGGCTTATACCATGGTGTTAGTCATGGTATACATGTGTGTGTGTGTGTGTGTGTGTGTGTGTAGTCGAAGGGGGTAGGAAAGTCGAGAAGAGAGAGAGAGAGAGAGAAAGAGAGAAAAAGAAAAGGGATATGGTGTGTCGTGTAAGGGACGAAGTAGTAGCCACACGCGTAAAGGCATTGTTTCTTGACCATGGTCCACTCTCCTCCTCCTCTTATTCCTCTTCCTCATCCTCCTCGTATATCCTCTTTCTCGTCCGTTACCTTCACCCCTTTTTCACCCCCCAACGAGCCCCTAATCCTCCGTGATTTTTGCTATTTGCATGATATAGGCGTTGGTGGGCCTTTGTTTGTCGAGCTATTGATCACATTTTCTCTCCCGCGGTATAATCAATCTTCACGCACACCACCTACGAACCAAGCTTTCTCGCACTTACCTCGACTACTAGCATTACTAATACTATTACTATTATTACTACTACTAATACTGATACTAATACATATTTAGATACATATATATGTGTCGATGAGAATGATGAAACGAACGCGACACATCATACGCAGCATTTGTGTAACTGTGTATATGTGTGCGTTCATGCGTAAGTATTTATTTATGTTAGTATATGTGTCATACGCACACCACGTGACGGACCGGTTCGCGGTTCTCTCATTCCTATCATTCTGACCCTTTCCAATAGACGTGCGCTGTTCTCTTTCTCTGTACATGTATGTATGTGTGTTCGTGTGTTCGTGTGTTCTACGTTAGAAATACTCAACCCCCCTTCAGATTCCCAACCTCCATTTTCACCTCTCTTCTCTTTCTCTTCTTCTTCCTCCTCCTCTTTCTTCTTCCTACCTACCTTTCTACCCCTTTTCCTATACGCGCGTGTGAATACGTTGTACGAGAAGGCAAGATGGCCGTTTGCTTCGTATTAATTTCGTGGCTCGCCCACCAATGATGAGTCCGGACGAGGAGGTCGTTATAACCGTCGAAACGGTTAGGGTTTCTCTCTCTCTCTCTCTCTAGTTTCTCTTTTGGATTCCATCGCTTTTCCGCGGCTTCCCAGTCTCCTTTACTTTCCTTTTTAAGGGAAAAATGATAAGGGGTTTGCTTATGCTCAACCACCAACCCTTTCGATGTTCAAAAATCTAACCCACTATAATCTCTGGTAACTATAGAATTTTCTAGAGAATTTTTATTCACTGATAATTAACCAATGACGATGAACTTAACTTTTGTTTAACATAAGTTTAATTAATTTTGTCAACAAAAAAAAATAATATAAAACGTTAAAAAATAAATTAACTAACGCAAATAAAAACTTAATATATAAATA